TTGCCCAAGTTTAGAGATGACGAGAGGATGAAGGTGTGATTAGCGGAAGATGGAGTGGAACAAAAGTGATTTATACCATATCAAATTATAAAGTGCTATGCACTATTGTTTATTCATTCAACAAGATGATAACTATTTTCTATTACAAAAACTGTTGGACAATCCCAACTATATACATGAGTGGCTCTAAACTACACAACCCTATCTAATAGATGTTATAAAATGAATCAGGCTTCTATATGAAAACTTCTATATTGCTCTTATAAAATAAAATACACTCTTGGTCTTTTATAGACCCAAATAGCTTTTACAATTCTAAAACATAAACTAAAACATAACTGCTACTAATAACTTACTATCATAACTTACTAAACTTTTGTCCTTCCTACTACCATGTTTAATGTAAAACTTTATTACTAACACATTTAATGTTTATTCAACAAAAATCCTCTGTAAACTTAAATGTTTCTTCCATCCAGCATTCCTATCATCTTCTTTCCTCTGTCAAAGACCTCTTTTGATAGTGGTTTTGTAAAAATATCCGCTGCTTGGTTTCTGCTTGCTACATGCCTTAATTCGACACTTCCCTCCTTCACATGTTCACGAATGAAGTGAAATCGAACATCAATATGTTTGCTTAGTTCATGATTCACTGGATTCTTTGCCAATTCGATAGCTGATTTATTGTCCACTTGTATTATTGTTGGACCTTCCTGTTTCAGCTCCATCTTGCTTATCAACCTTCTGAGCCATACTGCATGACAGACGCACCAGGATGCTGCCACATATTCAGCTTCACACGTCGAAAGTGTTACTATAGGTTGCTTCTTCGACAACCAAGTAAATGATGTGTTCCCCATGAAAAACACATATCTAAAGGTGCTCTTTCGATCGTCTATGTCTCCACACCAGTCACTGTCAGAATAACTAACTAACTTGTAGTCTTCTGTTTTTGAATAAAACATTCCTAGTGATATTGTTCCTTGGATGTATCTTAGAATTCGTTTCAGCGCCTTCCAATGTGTGTGTACTGGCTCCTCCATGAATCGACTCACTATGCCAACACTTAGTGAAATGTCTGGCCTTGTGCATGTGAGATATCGAAGGCTACCTACCAAGCTTCAATATTTTCTTCCTTCGACCCGTTCTCCTCCATCAAACTTTGACAGTTTTGTACCTGGTTCCATTGGCGTCGAAGTTGGATTGCAATTCTTCATTTTATATTTTTCTAAGATTTCCTTTGCATATTTTTCTTGTGAGATGAAAATTACAGCTTCTTCTTGCCGAACCTCCAGACCAAGAAAGAATCTCATCAGACCTAAGTCTGTCATTTCGAATTCGCTTGTCATGGTGCTCTTGAAATCTTCGATCATCTGAACATCACTGCCTAGAAAGATAAGGTCATCAACATAGAGAGCAACAAGTAATAAATTACTTCCATTTTTCTTCACATAGAGGGCGGGTTCATAAGGACATTGCTCGAACCCATTCTCCTTGAAATATGTGTCAATACGTGTGTTCCATGCCCTAGGTGCTTGCTTCATCCCATACAGTGATTTCTTCAGTTTCAACACCTTCTTCTCTTCTCCAGTTCTCATATATCCAAGTGGTTGTTCGACATAGATTTCTTCTTCGAGCACACCATTCAAAAATGCTTTCTTGACATCCATTTGAAATATTGGCCATTTGAACTGAGCAGCTTGAGAAATGAGTAATCCAATTGTCTCCATTCTTGCAACAGGCGCAAACACTTCGTCATAGTCAATTCCTGCTTTTTATTTGTATCCCTTCGCAACCAGTCGTGCTTTGAATCTTTCGATTTCTCCTTGAGCATTCATCTTTTTCTTGAATACCCACTTTACACCAATGGGTTGACTTCCTTTTGGTAATTCGACTAGCTCCCAAGTATTGTTGCGTTCGATTGCTCTAATTTCTTCGTCCATGGCACTTTTCCACTTCTTATCTCGTAACGCTTCTTCGACACTGATATTTTCAGCATCTTCCAGAAGACACACAAGATGCACCTCACTTGTTGAATCATACAAATCTTGCAAACTTCTCATTTTGGGTTGTAGAGGTTCATCTCCATCTTCTTTTTCTTCATGTTCTGTTGGAATACTTGTTGGTACAGCTACAGTTGTTTCTTCGACTGTGTCAACAACCTCTGTCGAATTGTTCCAGTCCCACTTGCTTGCTTCGTTCATTCGAACGTCTCTGATCACGATCACTTTCTTGCTTATGGGATTGAAGAGCTTGTACCCTTTTGTCTTCTCATCATATCCAATGAATATGTACTTCTGACTTTTGTCTTCAAGCTTTATTCTTCGTTGATCTGGTACATGTGCATAAGCTATACTACCAAATACCTTGAGATGAGAAATTGTTGGCTTCTGTCCACTCCATGCTTCTTGTGGTGTTTTGTCTTCTAACTTCGAATGTGGACATCTATTCTGAATATAAACAACACATTGTACTGCTTCTGCCCAGAATTCTTTCGACATGTTCTTGCTTTTGAGCATTGATTGAACCATGTCAAAAATAGTTCGATTCTTCCTTTCAGCCACACCATTTTGCTGAGGTGAATATGGTGCAGTTAGGAATCTCCTTATGCCCTGTTCTTCACAGTACTTCACAAAGGCCATTGAAGTATACTCACCTCCTCTGTCAGATCGAATTGCTTTGATGTGTCTGTCTGTTGCCTTCTCCACCATTACTTTGAACTTTTTGAACACTTCTAATGCTTCAGACTTTTCTTTCAGGAAGTAAACCCGGGTTTTTCTTGAGAAGTCATCAATAAAAGAAATGAAGCACCTTTTTCCACTGAAGGATTCTGGAGTGATTGGCCCACATATGTCAGTATGTATCAATTCGAGAATATGTTTAGCTTGATACCCTGCCTTCCTTTAAAATGAGGTTCTTGTTTGTTTGCTGAGCACACATTCTTCACAGAATTTTCCTTCGAAATCCATTTCTGGTAGTCCATGCACCATGTTCCTTTTCGCCAACCTTCTCAAACCAGCATGATGTAGATGACCAAAGCGCATATGCCATAGTGGCGCTTTGTCTTGCACTTCAATTTACAGACATTTCTCTCGAATGTTCCTCAGGTTCAGTTTGTACATTCGATTTCTTTCCATTTCGACAGCGGCAATCAGATATCCTGCTTTGTCTTTCAAATGCAGTGTTCGATCTTTCATCAGTATCGAAGCACCTTTTTCTGTAAGTTGTCCCAGACTTAATATGTTGGTCTTGAGATCTGGTACATAGTAAACGTCTTCGATTGATCCAATCAAGCCATCCTTTTGCAAGTAATTGATTGTGCCCTTTCCTTCGACCTTCACTTTCGATGCATCTCCAAAAGACACATTACCATCTTCAATTCTCTTCATATCTTTAAACAGGTGTTTGTAACCACACATGTGATTACTTGCTCCTGAGTCAAGATACCAAACATTGTCATTGGTGTTGATTTTGTTTTGAGCCATCAGGAGAAAGCCTTCATTCGATTCAGCTTCCAAGGCTAGGTTGGTTGTTTCTTCAATCTTCTTTTCGATTCGACAGTCCTTTGCAAGATGTCCCACTTTGTCACAGGTGTAACATTTGTAGGAGTTACAATCCTTCGCATAATGACCATACTTTCCACACTTGTAGCATTCGAAGTTGGAATAATTTGAACGACCACTTCTTTGACCACGTCCTCTTCCATGCCAATTTTGTTGGCTCGATTGTCCTCTTTCGAAGTTGCTACCTCTACCACTTCGACCACTGTCACGACCTCCACGTCCACGTCCTCTTCCTCGAAAGTTGTGAGAAAAGAGTACCTTTTCGTCTTTGTTTGATTCCTTGGTTTGGTTTGCTTCTTCGTCTTCTTCTTCTTTCTTTTTCATCTTTCGTTGTTCATGTGCTTCGAGAGAACCAGCGAGCTCTTTGATTGAGAGCGTCGAAAGGTCCTTCGACTCTTCTATTGCACACACAATATTCTCAAACTTGTCTGTTAAAGATCTCAAGATCTTTTCAACAACTCGTGCATCAGGTACTGTCTCTCCATTTCTGGTGAGTTGATTCACCACCTTTTGCACACGTGTGATGTAGTCAGATACAATTTATGTATCCTTCATCTGTATCCTCTCCAATTCGCCACGAAGAGTTTGGAGTCGAACTTGCTTCACTCGATCTGCTCCTTTGAACACTTTTTCTAACGTGTCCCACGCTTGTTTCGACGTAGTCGAACCAGCAATTTTCTCGAAGCCTGATTCATCTACAGTCCTGAACAACATGTATAATTTCGTTTTGTCCTTCGATCGCGTCTCTTTCAACGCCTTCGTTTGAGCTGCCGTATATCCCCCAACTTCTGTTGGTTCTTCAAACCCATCATGGGTCACATCCCACGCATCTAGAGATCCAAGAAGAGCTTTCATTTGGATACTCTAGTTTTCATAATTTGACTTCGTTAGCCATGGCAACGGCATTTGATTCATCATGTTTGCCATGAGCTCTGATGCCAAATTGTTATAAAATGAATCAGGCTTCTATATGAAAACTTCTATATTGCTCTTATAAAATAAAATACACTCTTGGTCTTTTATAGACCCAAATAGCTTTTACAATTCTAAAACATAAACTAAAACATAACTGCTACTAATAACTTACTATCATAACTTACTAAACTTTTGTCCTTCCTACTACCATGTTTAATGTAATACTTTATTACTAACACATTTAATGTTTATTCAACAATAGAATAGTAACCGATTAACTTGGCTAAAGCCCATTACAGATTGAAAGTCCATTACATGATAAAGCCCTAGACACTATTACTCTCTTTAAAAAATTATGTAATTTATTACCTTATTGTTAAGCAGCAGTTAAATTAATCATCTGCAAATACATAATTAAAATGAATCAAAAACCCTCACTAAGTTGATAAGCAAAATAAAGAAAGAAAAATATGGCTACTTGATTATCCATTAAACAAAGTAAATTGAATTAATATTAATCAATCAATCTTGCTTCCTCAATTGACTGTAAAACCTTTTTATGAAATCTTCAGCTGCCTTATCAACTTGATTATTCTTCTCATCATCATCTCTTAAAGGGAAACCTGGAGACGCTTCTACAATCGCTTGATCATTGTAAAGAATCTCCACCACCGCCTTCATTGAACTCATAGTCATCACCTCATCATCATGTGTAAGTTTTGCTTGAGTATTGTGCTTGTGGTTGTGGTGACGCTTTCCTATTGAGAAGAAGTGGTTGGGAGTGTTGCTACAGCTAAATTCATACTCCCTTGAGGAAGTGAATTGGTGGTGTGAGCCGTGGGAGTGGCGGTTTGAGGTGGAGCCACCATGGTTTGGATGGTGGGATATTAAATTGGCAATGGCTTTTCCAGCGAGCTTGCTATGACGTCTGAGTATCATGTTTAAGTTCATCATTAGTTTACCCTTTGATAATTCTTTTCTCAGCATGAAGAAGGCAACACGTACGAGACTCCACACTCTCTTTGATATCACTGGTAGATTGTTTTCCATTTTTATAGAAACTGTTTTTGTTTTTGGAATAATTTCAAAGTTAGTGATTTTGAGAAAAGAGATTGAAAGTGAGAGTGAGAGAGATATGAAGAGATGGATTTGATTTGAGGACAAGAGAGGAAGGTGATGAGGTTATTTATAGTTGGAAGAAAAGAAAAAGAAGGAAAATAAGAAATGAATATTGAATCCAGCATATGGAAATTGAACAAACCGTGGGTGGATGTATGTTTTGTATATTAATATTTTGTTATATTTTAAATCAAACATTATTGGAGGAAGCCTATATATGCTTTTTGGAAAAGGACAAAACGAGTGCTTTTACTTTACTTGGTCGAAAATAGACATCAACCAAAGCCATAATCGCGAGATGTGCAGCCAGCAATGCATTTTCTTACTTGATGCAAATGCAATCTAACATGTGAGTTTGAAGCTTTGGGGGAACTTTAATAAATGACCTTTGCTTGAGGTAAAAATAAAATAAAAACTAAGTGTTTTCATATTTTAAGAAATTGTCCTCGTGCGTATTAGAAGAAATTGTCCTTCTGCTCTATAACTAACTCTTGATTCAGTTGTAACTAATTTTAAGTTATGTTTTTCATATGTTTCAAGATCTGCAACTTCATCTTTTTCATTGATTCAGTTTCTTGATCACAACCATGACAGAGCCTTCTCAAGTTATAACAATCGTAAGCTTAATCCAAAACTCGCAACTGATTGTAGTCAATGCTTCTGATTTGAATTCATCACATAACTTTGGTCAAAAACTTTCAATCAAGCTACAAGACAACATTTACCTCCTTTAAAATCAGCGGGTTAAAGGAGTCATTCTCATTCAAAGAGTTCATAAATTAGTGTTGAATCTTCAAATTTCGCAGAAGTTTAAGTCAAGGCAAGATCATATAGAAGGCAAAGTCTCTAAAGAATGTGAATCTTGGATAGTGCAAGATCAAGTTGCATTCATATGGATTCTTCCTACAATTTAAGAATCGGTGTTATATCTCGAGTCTTGTCATGCAAGCATGCTTTTGAAGTATGGGATAAAATTCATAGGTATTTCATTGCTCATATGAAGGCATGAGTTTGACAACATCGAGTTGAGTTGAAATCAATGAAGAAAGGTCACAAATCTATTACTGAATATGTTCTTCGGATTAAAGTTATTCTCAACTCATTACTACAAAAAACACATCTAACGTCACACGCGAAATACATTTGACATCGGCTACGGAAACGAGATAACGAAGGGCGTCATGAAAAGCTACCACTTAAGACGTCGGTTATTTAAACGCAGAGGGATAAAGTTATCTGCACATGAGTTTGATCTCCAACATCAACATTTTTATTATTTCCATAACTGGATAGTGTGCCCAATATTAACACTCGGTGTTTTGTTGGACCGAGTTAATATCTAAATATTTTTACCTCGGTTTTACGTAAAACCGAGGGGATAAATTTTTTTTGTACTCTTGTTTGCACCTGTATTATAGAATCATATTATAGAATATAGAACCATATTTTGCAGATTCCTGAAACATAAACATTGTACATTTTGTCAATTTCTTAATCTGAAACATTGTACCATAAATATTCATTGATTACACCAAAAATAAACCAAAATGGCACAGACCTTATAACTTTATATCAAAACTAAAACAAATTATTAACCAACATTTACTAACTAGTTTTCCCATATCCCCTCTTCATGATCACGATAAATAGCATGCACATCATCTGAATCATTTTCTTCAGATGATTGACGTACACGTGTTGCTAAACAAGGCGTCTCATAGTTAAAATCTTGTTTTTTCATCAGTACTATCGGGAAGATGTTTCTCTTGAAGAACAATTGATCATCTAGTGCTAGAAGGTCAATGACATAAAAAACTTTGCTTGGGTCGTCATGATGAATGGTTCGTTCTTGCAAGTGGATTGACAGTAACATTGATGTATAAACCTAATTCATCAGTTTATACATCTCAGTTACTGTCAATCCACTTGCACTTAACTAAAGACACTTTAAAAGAAACATAGTCAATCTCTAAAATCTCCTCAATGACCCCAAAGTACGCTCTAGATGCTAGCTAGTACATGATTGTTATCTTTGGAACTAGAAAAGTACATGGATTCAGTCTAAACCATAACCGCACTATTTTACATGGTGCTACGATCATCCTTTGATTTTGTATAGAGTGAATATTTACTAATGTCGTATGCACTCTAAGTAATTGCATTAAACTTATACATACGTGACAACCATTTCCAAGTATCTGATGCATTACTCTCTTTAGAAATACTTTCACTAAACCAAGTTATGGAAGTTTTGTTATGCTCTTTCAACAACCATTTTTCATTCATCCCGGGGGAATTTTTCCTTTATAAGACTTTTGTGATCGGTCAAGTAAGGTTGAACTTCACTAAGATTATTCAATATATACAATTATTCTTGAATAAATACTCCTTGATCAAATGTCTTAACATTTAAACTATGAATACTTCTACCATCATAATATCCATCATGACGAGACTCAGAAATTACTATAAAGTTCGCTTCTGACAAATAGTTTGTAAAAAACTCAATAGCTTATTATGTGATGTACCTTCCTACGATCAAAACTTTAGTACGATGATAATTCTTTGTATATCCTTTAAAAATATTCATGTAACGCTCTATCAAATACATCCACGGTAAATAAACCGGACCACAAATTCTAATTAGATGAATAACTAAGTGAACCATACTGTCAAAGAATGATGGGGGAAAAAACATCTCTAATTGGCGTAAGATAATTGCCGCTTCGTGTTCCATGTTATGATGCGGTGGGAGAACTGATTTGATTATTTTGCGTTTTATCGCAAATGTTGCGGTTAGCAAGAGTCACCACCGACTTTTCTTTTATCTAAAAGGAAAGGTGAAAAAGCACAGGAAAGACCTTTGAGATTGTTTCTTGAGTTCAGGGGGTAGATTATGAAAAGGGAAGGTATTAGCACCCTTTCCATCCATGGTTTTCCAAGGGCTCTTAGTTACTTGCTAGATCACTTGCTTTTGTTTGAAATTGTGCTTTGTGTGGTTTTTTGAAAGTATTTTGTAAAAGAGGCCATTGTTTAGGAAATCTTTGTAATGATTCTCGTTTGTAAGAATGTATGCAAATATGTTTGTCTTTTTGAAGATGTTTTCAATGTTTGTAAGATGTTTGAAAGTGTGTAGGTGTTTGTTTTGAAAATAGCAAGGATATTTGTTTTGAAATGGAGCAAGTAATTAGGAGCAATCTACCTACTCAAATGTCTTTCTTGTTCATTTTCTTTTCCTTTGATATTGTTGTCTTACTATTGATTTGGTAAGCAACCCTATCTTTGGATTTAAACGGGACGGGCGTGGGTCATCATATAGCCATGATTAGCAATGTTGCAAGGTATCTTAGCATTTTTTGAGGGACTGAGATCATTTTGTAAGGCAACTTTGAATAGCGTCATCGAGGGACTATGATCTTATATTTGTTTGTTTTGCTAAGATACCTGTTGTACCCCAAAATTTTCCCTCTCATTTCATCAACATTTTCTCATCACAAGACTCCAAGAACTCAAGATCAAGTTAGGGTTTGCTCTGCTCAAGACCCCTCCTTGCACTGTTGACCCAAATTAGGATTTGAGTTTGCATAAGGATATCTTGACCTACAGTGCCCAAATTGACTTTAATACTTCATGTTGGGTTTACAAGTTTTCCCATACCAAGTTTCAAGCCTTGATCCAAATCTTTGCCCAGTCAATTGAACAGTTGACCTAAATATCAGCTGTATTGGGGAAAAAGTCAAATGTGGCCAATTTACAGTCAAACCTCATGGATTTTGATCCACATCAACATTATGAACTCATATGAACCATTTTATCAAGTTTGGATCACAATTCCACAAGAAATTTGATCAGATCACCAAAAGGGCAAAATGGTCATTTTTAGGATTTTGACTGCACAAAGGCAATTTTTGACTGTTTGACCTAACCAATGGCAAACCAAGCTCACATATGGACTCAAGGACTCAATGACATTGTCTTGAACCATTTAACAAGTTCAAAAGATCTCAAATGCATAGGATTGACAGATGAATTTTTCAGTCAACTGATCAAAATTTGACTGTACACTGAAAAGTCAAACTTTGACTTTTTGGTCAAAATCAAGTGCCAAGAGTCATTTTTCAGCAAGTCATGTCAAATTATGAAGCTTGCCCATCAAGAAACCCAAAAGTGCAAAATTAGGGTTTAAAATGAAAAAATTCATAACTTAGAAATTTTCTAAGTTATGAAATTTTCTTATTTTTTCCTAACTTTGTCCCATTTTTTCACTAAGATGCAAATGGATTCAAACAAAACTTAAAACATGAAAGTTGTAGTCCATCACAAAATCTACAACTTTGATTCACAAAGTTTTCTCAAAGGAAGCTTGTATCTCAAGTTATGATTTTTGGAACAAGGGTGCCTAAAACTTTTAACTTAGAGAAAATTTGCCCCAATCTAGGCAGGATTTTGACCCATCTTCTTGGCCATTTTTCACATGGTTCCACTTGGAGTTTCAAGTTGCATTGCAAAGATGGATTGTATTACGTGTTCCAAGCTTTCCAAATTGTCCAAGAACTCCTCAAACACCCTTGTGGTTAGAGAGAATCGAATTCACAAAGTTGGTAAAAACTCATTTTGGTTCATGGCCAAGGCATGTTCATAGCAAATTGCATTTTCAAATCAGCTTGTTTTATGCTAGCTTGCAGGCCTCAAAACCAGTTTATACACCTTAATTTAATGCATAACCATTTAGTTGAGGGATTATTTTGTTCATTTGGGCATTACATGGAAGTTTAAGCCTTAAGTAGTAAAAGGTGAATTGCCATTTTTGCCTAAAGTTGCTTTATGTCAAATACCAAATCCTTGAGACATGGGGCCAGATCTTTAAGGCAAATCAAATCCACAAATCCCTGCAACCAAGAGGATTGTGTGCAGCATACTTGAGGGCATTG